AGCTTAGCGAGAAGTCCAGGGGAGAAATCATGTACTCTTCCAGAGGCAGCACCAGTCGATGTCGCTGAAAGGGAAGCCCAAGATACCTCAAAAAACCCACTTTTGTTGAGGAGTATCACCATGATCGGTGGACGATAGAGGTCGAAGGCGGCTAGAGAAAAGAGGAGCACCGACAAGAGGGCACCACTGGTTGAGCTTAGAGTGGAGGTAATCGACAGCAGTAAACTCCAGAAGAGACCAAGGGGCGTCCGTTGGAGCTGGAGCATCAACAGAACGAGGAGTGGAAACTTGGACACCTATCCGTTCTAGATCACGAAAACCAACGAGAACTTCACAATCACAGGATCGCTGTAAGGCATCGTCATCTACCACCAAACAGTGCAGTTTGACAATTCCCTTGTCAACAATGAAAAAACGCACATTTGTCGCCTTCCCAGGGCTGGACTGATTACCCAGGGAGATCAGTCTAGTCTCATCACTTATGATTGAACAACCCAATCGCTGGGCCAGTGAGACAGTTAACAAGTTGACGGAGCTCATAGTATCAAAAGCAACCCTAACAACTTCATCTTCACAATTGGGTTGCTCCGCTAGTACTCGCAGATGACTTGTTAGAAGGGAATGAGTGATTGTCTTTCCTAGAAGGGCAAGCATAGGCAAAATGCCCCTCACGTCCACACCTGTAGCAGGTGACTGGCTTCTTAGAAGGTTGACGGGAACCCAATGTCGAGATGAGCTGTCGCTTTGCAGGAGGAGGAGGAGGAGGAGGAGGTTGGCGAACATCAGTCTGCTTCTTGATGTCAGGCGAAGAGGATGCCGATCCAAAGTACGAGCGAGGTCCTTGGGGTTGAGGAGCAAACCAGGAACGAGCAGAACTAGTCGGCTTCTTGGTATCAAACCAAGACCTTTTTCTTCCTTGGAGTGGAGGATGACTGCTTCCCGTACGCTGCTGTTGACGGCCCTTCAATTTGAGAAACTTGTCAATAGAGGAGTAACCGCCACGTTTAGCCAGCTTCGATAAGGCTGTAAGAAAGTTATCAGGGTCACCCTGTGTCGAGTGCTCAAGTTTATCAATAAACTCAGCAAAAACCAATATCAGAATCATGAAAAAGAGGAGTCGCACGGAGGAGAGCACCGTAGAAGAGACGCCTCGTTGCCCAGGTAAGGATCACACCAGATGGATGGGATGCCAACCTAGACTGGATGCGCCTCTCTCGCTCGAGTGTACGAACCAGACTATCGCCGTGCTCGATAGCTTGTGGTAGAGATGCCCATTGCTTCAAAAGGTTAAGAGGATGCCTAAGATTAGGCAACTCGAGTTCTTGGACCTCCTTGAGTTGAGCATCAGCCTTGTTGAGGATACCTTGGCAACTATCAACATAACGTTGGTAAAGAACGCGGAGTTCATCCGCTGGAATCTCATCTTTGGGCTTAAAGGTGATCTTCTGAATCTGACGCCGCACCAGAACATCAGAGTTACCATCCACTGCAGTTCCATCGGGAGAAACTTTGGAGAGAAGGGCAGTCTTGATGGTATCGGCAATAGGTCTTGGCAGGAACCCACAGTAAGCATATAGACGAATCGGAGCAGTGTTTCCAACACACTCGGAAACGGATAGAGACAATGTTCGCGTAAAGCGCTCATACGTGAAACGTGGACTGACAGTTCCGGTCTTAGGCTTAATGGCATTCCACAACGTAGCATCATAATAGGCCTCATGATGAGGAGGTAGATTCCATGCAGAGCTGAAGCCAGAAAGGCTGACGCCAAGCTTCGATCCATTAGTGCCAATGAAAAAAAGATTTTCTAAGGCAGGAGAATGGATGGAGAAACCTAAAAGTTCTTCACAAACTTTCACAGGAGATAGAGCGACTAGCTCAGCCAGGGATAATGAAGGAGTCTCACCTTCATTACCAAGAGTAGAACGGGCGGCATCACGCAACGCAGCAGAGAAGAGGGCAGAAGAGGTTTGAGAGACAAGAATACCGGGCGGTGCACCATGCTGCTGGTCTTTGTCCGTCTTGCCTCCCTCACCCCCACTTGAAGTAACACTTGTCTCAGTCATAGGGAAATGATTAGGTAGTTATCGAG